TCATGCCTTAAAAATTAATAAATAAATAAACATATTATACACCTAATAGATAAATAAATGAATTACCGAATAATTGAATAAATAAATTAATGCATAAATGAATAAATGAGTAAAAACGGTCTTTTGTTTATCAATCTAGAAAATACATCTTGTATCTGGGCCTTTCCAACACCATCCTCAACTGGTTTCATTGACAACATCCATCCCATCCCAGCTCAACTCTGGCATGAACAAAAAGTTAATAACCATTCTCATGTTTGCCCACAAATCCGTGCTGTGCCTCCCAGACCTGCAGTGCTGTACGTTGACAAAACGCCTTATCTCACACAGTTTCCAGATAAAAACACGTTTAGATGTAGGCGTTACCATTGAAAAATAGGTGTTCTCCAGAAATCTGAATTCTAATTTATTCCAAAACTATAGTCACAGTTCCACTTTGACTGTTTTACTCCAGTAGGGTAATTGATCAGGCTTTCTATTTATGGAATAAACATTTTGAAAAGTTTGGCCAAAAATGATTTTAAAAAAGCGTTTTGTTAGTTCAGGCCAGTGCAGTGCTTTCTGCTCACGAGGCTGCCGCCTGAGCGTACGGTTTCACAGAGTGTCCGGGTATTTTGGTCCCGCTAATAGATCTACGTCACGCCAGTGCCCAATCTGTCTTCGGTTGTAATTGAAGCATGCAACACTCCAGAGGTATACATTATTATATTCGTTCCCTCTATCTTCTATAAGGGTGCTAATAGGTTTGTGTCTCCTTTTCTATCATTTCCAGGGTAGTAGCATCGATTTTTCTGGGTATGTGTCTGTGACTGTTCTGTCTCTGTCTTTGTCTCTTTCTCCGTGTATGAATGTATGTTCGTCTGTCCGTATGTATGTATGTCTGTCTATTTGTCTTGCTATCTGTTGGTCTTTCTGTGAGTCTGTTCGTCTCTCTCTGTCTCTGTCTGTCTGTCTGTCTGTCTGTCTGTCTGTCTATCTATCTGTCTGTGTGTCTGTCAGTCTCTCTTTCTCTCTCTCTCTTTGTGTGTGTGTTTGTGTGTGTGTGTGTGTGTGTGTGTGTGTGTGTGTGTGTGTGTGTGTGTGTATGGGTGTGTTTGTTTGCGGGTGTACGAAAGGGGGGGGGGTTGAGAGAGAGAATACGTAAGTAAAACGAAAGAGAGGGGGCACATAGAGAGAGAAAGAACGAGAGAAAGTGAGACACGGAAGAGACAGACAGGCAGACCGTTGGACTAACTGCTGACATTCCCTCTCTATCCACCTTTGACCATCAACAATTTATGTATAGTGACACCAGCCATCCATGTCCAGGAGCTGTTTTAGCCTTGTATTTATCTTTGGTAAAATAGAGAGACAGAGAGACAGAGAGAGACAAAGACATAGTATACGGAGACAACGGATAAGAAGGAAAAAAGCATATAAAAACAAAAACAAAAAGAAAGATACCAACAAAAAAGGAGAGAGAATATAATAAGCGGGCAAAAAACGCATCAAACAATGTTAAAAGGAGCTTACAGACATGGCGCTTAAATGACCAAAATTGTGTCGATAGTGCCGTAAAACATCTACCCAATCAATCAATCAAAGCTTACAGACAGAATCCTCGTCCGAACCATCCCGGCAGTGGGGTGTGCCGTCACACACCAGAGTCTTGTTGACACACTGGTCCTTGGAGGCGCACGGGAAGGCCCAGTACTCGCACTTGTTGAAGATGAGCGACTCCAGACCATTGGTCCCGGGTGAGCGGGAAACTGAGGATGGACAAAGAGCGGAGAGTGATAAAGACGTCTTTTAGCAGGGCCTCTTTTAGGAAGAAATTTAAAAAGAAGGACTATTATTGTTCTACATTTGATTCTGAGAGTGCTTTTGTACAAAGCGTGTGTTTATATAAATCTGTAATTCTCCCTCTCTCCCTCTCTCTCTCTCTCTCTCTCTCTCTCTCTCTCTCTCTCTCTCTCTCTCTCTCTCTCTCTCTCTCTTTCTCTCCTTCTACCTCTGTCTGTCTCTGTCTCTTTGTCTTTTTGTCTCTCTATCTCTCTTTTTGCCTCTCTCCGCTTTCTCTGTCTCTCTCTGTTTGTCTGTTTGTTTGTTTGTCTGCCTGTCTGTCTGTCTGTTTGTCTCTCTCTCCCCCTCTCTCTCTCTCTCTCTCTCTCTCTCTCTCTCTCTCTCTCTTTGTGTACACTTTGGAATATTTGTGTAAGATATCATTTTTATTTTGTTGAATATAGATATTAAAAATATGCCTGTCATATATATGCATACTCGTAGGTGACTCTTCAATCCATTTTTCATGTGTGAAAATATGTGTATAAGTAACAAGAGGCATACATACGCAGCAACGGGTGATTAGTAAAATTAGCCAGATAAAGAGACAGAAACAGGGGAGTAAAAAAGAGGACAGAACCTGTTACTACGCACTGTACACAGCGCGCCCTGTTATTCGGATCATCTGATTGAGCCAGCCACATTTCCCTTCGTGGATAATACAGAAGCCACCATCTTGGCCAAATACGACTGACTCTTACTAAATTCGGCGGTGACCTTCAAACTTAAACGCGTTTGTTTTTCAAGGTACGAGTAGCTTTGAGTGACGTCAGTGGCCTAGTGGTTAGGCTACCGGACTCGTAATCGTCAGAGGTTCCAGCCCCACCCAATGTTGTGGCCTTGGGAAAGACTCTTTACACGAGTTTTCCCAACTTAACGCAGGTGGGAATGGGTACCCAGCTATTATAGACAGTGAAAGATCTTGTCAGTTTGTTAGCGTTTGAGCGCTTAATCAGCTGCTTGCACCTCATGTTTCCAGGAAAGCTGAGAGTAGTTCTGAGAGTAACAAACATAAAAAAAGAAAAAGTGGAGATAAGGAGTATAGATGTTTGATAGGACAGAAGAAGCAAACCACACTAGAGGACCCGCCAACCACCCACTCAGGGTAGCAGACAGATAAAAAATTGCGCGTGTTGAGCGGCAAGTAAAGATGATAAATAAACTAAACAGAGGAATACAGAAAAGACCAGAAAACAAAGGAAATCAGATTAGAAAGAAAAACAGTACAGTTGAAACGTTCAGAGACGCCAGCCATTGTCTAGGAGAACGGAAGCTGCTTTATACAGATGGTTTTGCTCAAGGTAAAAATAATGGGGGAATACAATAAAGAAAGCGCAAGGTAGAACACGGGAAGTGACTGTTTGTACAAGTGATTGTCATCTACGGGTGGCCGTTAGAGCAGATTTAATTGTAAATCTATAAGTGCCTTACTTTAAAAAGCTGACAATAACGTCTGTCTGTCTGTCTGTCTGTCAGTCTCTCTTTCTCTCTCTCTCTCTCTTTGTGTGCGTGAAGGTGTGTGTGTGTGTCTGTGTGTGTGTGTGTGTGTATGTGTGCGTGAAGGTGTGTGTGTGTGTGTGTGTGTGTGTGTGT